TCTATGTGCGTACATATGTACATATGTTTGGTATGTAGGTATGTATGTTGACGTGCAATTGAACTGTTTTCATTAACCTTTTTATGTGGCCATGTTTTGCGCTTATGTGACCATTTGAAGCGCTTTATCTGGGTCAAGTTCAGTTACAAAAAAAAAAAGATAAAATAAAATTTGGTGTACTCGTAATAGGAAACTGGAGTGGCATAAAATGGGTATAAGCTTTGCGATTTTCGTACAAACATATATTTATGTACGAATGTATGTATGTATGTACACATAAATTTAGATACAAAAATAAATTGTATGTACATTAATCTGCACTAGAGGGCTGCATGAATGCATTCAAAACGGCATATGAATTATTCATATACAAAACGAGTGAATGATTTTGGCTTCACATTTTTTTGAATTTGAGTGAATAGCTGTTCCGATATTTGTGTCGACATTACAATATTCAAACAAAATGAAAATAAATTGAATTGAAATAAATGACAATTTTTTGTATGAATATCCAAAAATATTTTTTCTATGCACATATGTACAAACATATGTATGTATTTATTGCTGCGCTCCTATTACATACGAAAAAAACTTGTTTGTAGAAAAAAACTTTTACCGAAATGAGTTTGAATGATTTGAATGTTTTCCATTCACTCATTCACATTTTTCCATTTGAAGTAGGGCTGTGCGATTAATTGATTATTAAAAATTTTAGTTAATCATAAAGTAAATAACTCAATTATTCGATTAATTGGAAATTATGATTACTCAAAAGTTCAATTACTCGAGTAACCAAGATTTTGATTAACCAAAAACAAAAATATATGAGTAATTTGCTTTGTGATTAATCAACATTATGAGTAAAATGAGTAGTCAACATTTCAAAGTACTGTTTACATATAAAGCAGTTGAAGTTCCTTGATACTTTGAAAACAACGTTTCTATTTTCAAAAAATAATTTTTTCATGTACAGAATGTAAGAAAGAAAATAAGCATTTTCCAAAGCAAACTCATTTAACGAGCAAAATTAATTTTTTTGAGTAATCATATATCAAGTAACTCGATTAATCATCGTTTTGAGTAATCAAAATCTTGATTAATCGAGTAATTGATTAACCGGAAAACTGATTAACCACATTGGTCGAGTAATCGAATAATCGCACAGCCCTAATTTGAAGGTAGAAAATTTAAAACAAAATGTATATTCATAACTCACAAAATTCCAAACGCTGAGTGTTTTACATGTGAAGTAAAATATTCAAATCCATTGTACTCTGTTTGGCTAGAAGTTTGAATGAATTCATGCAGTCCTCTAGTCTGCACCACCAAAACATTTCGGAAAAATACTAAGATTTACGTGAACTGGGCCGATTTGAAAATACCTCCAAAATTGGATTTTTTTTTATGAATAAAAATGGTTTCTTAAAGTACTTTTTGAGAAAACTTACCTCGGATTACAACAAAGTTTAAGCTGAAAAAAATCGCCATAGAAATATAAAATTTTTCTTTCAACGGAATCATAATAATAAGATTTTTGATGCTGTTTTTTTTATCATTTTTCAAAGATAGGTTTAAGAAAAACTTAAATAACTTAGCCAAAACTACACCGGTTTAGACTTATGAGGTATCGTTGGAAACGTATTTTCTCACCCTAATTGTTCCTTTGCAAATAAACTCATTCAAAGTATGAAAGAGAAAGGTATGACGAACGAGCGTCATTCTTAGTTTAATTAAGATGTGTTGTTGTTTGCAAAAAAAAAAAAAATCAAAGGTGAATGAATGTATTTGCAAAGAAATAAAAAGGGTGAGAAAATAACTTTCCAATGGTAGGTCATAGGTCTAAATGGGTAAAGTTTTCGCTAAGTTATTCAAGTTTTCTTATGCTGGATTTCCACTAGGCATTTAATGGCAAAAATGACAAATTACAAAGTTAAGCATTAAAAATAATCGTGTCATTTCAATGCCTAGTGGACATTGGGCATTAAACCATTCTTTGAAAAAAGTTCAAAAACAACATCAAACATCTCATAATTATGATTTTTTTTTTCAAAAAATACTTTTAAAAAACTATTTTTATTCATGAAAAAAAACCCCATTTTTGCAGGTATTTTCAAATCGGTCTCGCTCACGTAAATCTTAATATTTTCCGAAATATTTTGGCGGAAGTATTAAAATACAATAGCTTTTATTATAATTCCAAAGGAAAGACTGTAATGATTTTTGTTTGTATGAGCAGTTATGCAGGCTAATGTACATAAATAGTAGGTATGTGCATAATTACTGAATTATGCTCAGACATAATGGAAAAGCGTTTTCGATTAAAACTAAAACAATAAGGGAAACTATAAGTAAATAAAACAAATATTTAAACAATACAAAATCAAGATAAACTAAACTAAAATCAATAAATTAAATATATATATTTTTTTTTCATATTTTACTCACAATATGTACTTATGTATCTCAGCAGTTCAATGATAGTGTCAACGCTTCGCAACTGTTAATTAATACTTGTGGCGACAAATCGGTTATTTTCAACCAAAATACCGATGGCAACACAAACGCCGGCAACCACTTCTCATTTTCATTCTCATAGTAGGTGCGAGCTTTGGTACAAAATGCAGAGTATGCTCTATTACAATTGCTGCAATGTGCATAGATGGACTGAAACAAACAATAACTACAATAGCAAAACAATCTTTTTTGTTTTTGTGCAAAACAGTCGTTAAATTACCAGATTATTACAAAATATCATTTAAAACATTTGCAGCGGTGGTCTATTGGCTTGTTGGTCAGTAGACCGCGCGCATACATACATACATACACATCTACATAGTACATAAAGGCTACTAGTATTAAAAACAGCACACAATCTATAAAATGCACATTTATTTTTTATGTTGCATTTACTTCTTTAAGTTATTAATATTTTTTTGTAGTTTGTATAAAAATTTTAGAAAATCCCACACAGTATTTTGTGGTGCAGTAGACCATGGTTGTCCAAGGCGATTGCAATGAATTTGATGAGTCAGCACATTTCTATTTGTACATGTATATGTTTGTATGTGCGAGTGTGTTTTGCAGACGTGCTTAGACAACTTTAAGGTCGACCACAGCGCAGAATGACGCAAAGGTGAATGTCCGAATTTGGCATGAATGTTTTCAAAATTTGACCCTTGAATTAAGATTAGGGGAAGTCATCTGAAACAAACATCTAATTCGGGAGTGAATGGACTTAGCTGCAAGCGTCTCAACACTTTTAAAATGAGCGGCACGACGATGCACTTGCAACTAACTTTTTAAGTGGCCTGGTAAAGGTCATAGAATACCTATGAGTCATTCTTGAAACTGTATTGCAAATATTCAAAAGATGGCGCGCGTGCAGTAAATTGGTGCGTGAGAGCCTACTTACTTGGTTTATTGGCTCAGCTACCGGTTTCGATCTGTGTAACTATGACTGGAATCTTCCCGACGACAGCAGATGGGGCACTCAGTTTATTTTCTCTCTATCGTCCATATAACGGATGCGTGATAGTTTTTTTTTTTTTGGGAGAAACTATCGAAGAGCATCAGCGAAAAAAATCTCAAAAATCAACGGTAGTTTATAGCCACTTAAAACTTGCACTTTATTGTACTTGAAATTGAGTGAGCTATAAAACCGCATACTCAAAAAAATTTTTTAAAATTTTGTTTAAAAGTTGAAAATTTTGGTGAAAAATTTGTAGAATTTTCCTAAATTTTGTAAAAAACTTTGAATCATTAATTAATATGAAATTTAATGCAGAATGAACTATATTTCTATTAAAAATTAAGGAAAAAAATGTATTACGAAAAACATTGCAAATATTTTTAAAAACAAAAACACTGTACGCAAACATATATAAAATTGATTTGGGGGTGTGGGAAGTTAATATTATATGATGGTTTAAAATTATTTAGGCAAAAATAGTAGCATTAATAAAAATATAAATTTACCGACCCCTGCGAAAAATGGTTTTATCCACTTTGATATGAAACATCATGTTTACATTTTAATATTCACATGAAATAAATAATAGTAATAGAAAATATTGTAAAGGTTTCGTAGCAAATAAAAAATTTGGAGATTCATCGTTTCGCTTTTGTATTTTTATATTTTCATTTGTCAATCAGCTGTTGCGAATGGATTATTTGGTAGCTGTCAACAAAATACAATTACTCCCAAAAAGGTTCAAAGGGGGTAGTAAATTTTTGTGAGGGCTTGTGATATTTTTATAAAAATAAAATGAGCGTACTCCGGCGTATTTTTTTTATCATCTACGGAATAAATACTTCTACTTTTTTCAATAACCACAATTTTAAAACTGTTACGCGCAAACTAATGGAAAAAAATAAAAACTTACTTGTAAAAAGTCATTCCTAAATATGAAAATAATTTTAAAAAGTTACATCCACACATACTATAATTACACAGCCACACAAAAAAAAATTTGTGTTCTGACCCAAAGGTCTCACTATGTGTACTTTATGTTTTTGGGGTCGCTGAATCCGAATCCGAGGTCCATTTAACCCCATCAGTTCAGGGTTTTGATATAACCCCAGAAAACCAATATGGCGGAGACCTTTTGGAAAAATTCATCGGATTCGCTTGATACTCATTACTCGGGGGTTTTCGGGGTCGCTAATTACGAATATGATAATATTTTTTCAAAATTCAAAATGGCGGATCCAATATGGCGGACACATTTTTGTAAAATTCATCGGATTCGCTTGAAAATCGTTACTCAGGGGTTTTGGAAGTCACCGATTACGATTATGCAAAAGTTGTGACCATGCATATCTACGAGGGCACTTAAAAAATTTGTAAAATTTTTATTCTAATCATTTTATAAAATCATACTATCGTAATAAAAGCAAAGTTAGTTTTTATGACCTTCTGTGTTGAGTGAATGTTGCAAAAAAAAAAAAAAAAAATAAAGTTGTTATAATAACCCCTTTCCCTTTAATTTTTCTTTTTGCAGTACCATCCGAAGTCAACAACGCCAATGCCAACTTCGAGATCGCACCTTGCAACTTGAAAGATGCCAACAAAAATGAATGCATTCGCAATCTCTTCACACAAATTGTACCTCAGCTGAAGGTAAGTATACACACATACATATATACACACATACGTACATACTTCTTTGGAAAGCCGCTGTCACTTTTTTCAACATTATTGCTTACTTTTCATCGACTCTCTTTTTAGGCTGGCCTACCTCAGTATGGCATGCCATCCATCGATCCGTATTTCTATCGGCGCGGCATTTTCCGCTATGACAACGAAGGCGTGCAAGGCGGTCTGCTCATCAAGAATATGTACATTAATGGCATTAGCGAATTCAAGGTCAACACATTCTTGTCGAATTTCACCGAGAAGGCGTTCATTGTTAAGTTGAGCATTGAAATACCGAGAATCAAAGCGAATGGCCAATTCAAGGCGGATGTAAAATTCGGCGGCTTGCGGTTGGTGCCCAAGGGACCCTTCAACATCACCATCGGTTTGTTGCGCATTCAAGTGTTGATTGCGTTAAATGATTAACTATTTACTATCTCTTTCAATAATTATGCAGATAACATACGCGCCACTATTTTAACTGATGGTTCGATAGAGACGACGGATGCGGGGCGCCGTTTGAAGCTACAACGTTTGAATGCTAATGTGGCGGTGGGCGATGCGCGTATCATAGCCAATGGCATATTTAGCGATCGTAATTTGAGTTAGTGAATACCAGAAATCTTTTATTCAGAAGAAGATGTATTTTGTTAACGTTTGCTTTTCTTCTCTTTCAGATGCAATGATTTTGAATTTGGTTAATGAGAATCTGCCCGAAATCACACGCGTCGGCATACCGGCCACACGCGAGCAATGGGCGCCAATTTTTATAACGCATATCAATCAATTCTTTGCGAACATTCCTATTGATAAAGTTTTAATAGAGTAAAACATTTTCAGAATTGAATTTTCACTTCAATTGGAATCTGTGGAAAATTTAGGTTAGCCTAGTTTGAGAGAAAATTTTTAAAGAAATATTGTAGGTTTTTATTTAAGGCGCTCACTCCCAAAATCGACGCATGTATTTATTTAATTAGTATTACAACATGGCATGCACTATCGTACCTTTGTATTTTTAGTATATTTAAGCATTCGATTTAGTTCGACAATTGTAAATTCATTAATATTTAATTTAAATAAAAGTATAAAAACAGAATTTAATCTTTCGAGCCTTGTACTTTTGAACGTGTTGATAGGAAAACAACTCATTATAACGTCTTCTTTATGATGCTTTAACGATTTAACGATTGGCCGATTAGCGCAGTCGCAATCGCCTGGATCACCACTTACGAATGGCTGTAAGATCTGGACACTACCAGGCAGAGCAAACTCCTCCAATGATGTTAATTCCATCGAGCTGCCCCTGATTCGGGATACCAGCGAATATCTAAATTCGTTGGGAAAATAATGACGAATAGTACTCAGATGTTTATATTTGTATGGCCTTATTCATGATACAAAAAGAAGGTAGTGAACCTAGCATTTTCGCAAAAAAAAAAATTAAACTCGTGTTAGGCCAGCAGCAGTATTTTTGCGCAAAACTCCTTTCCGCGTTGGTGGCCTTCGGCCGCGCTAGAAAATATAGCCTCGTCAGTCCAGTGGTTAAGCCATCGACAGTATTTTAGCGAAAAATCCACCTCTAAATTTTAACTTTTTCAAGAAACAAAAATTTTCCTGCTAGTCAATCTGGTAGCATGATTTCAGTTAAATGTCGTAAACTTGTTTAAAGTCAAATAGGCGGCAACAACAACGAATGTCAATAAATGAAACTACCTTCTATTCTATTGTATCATGGGCCTTATTCATAACAAATAAATTTGGTTTAAAAAGCTTTATAAATTGACGTTTTCATAAAATTTTCAATTTATAAATCTTTTGTAGAGCTACCTTATTTTTTATAAATTTTTTAATAAAAAATATAGTTAGCAAGGTGTATTTTTTTGAATTTTTTCAACATTTTCCTATCCATTCAAAACTATGCTTATTTCAAAGAACCATGCTTCTGCTATAATAGCGGTATTTATTTTACATAAGCTACGAATATCTTGATTCTTTTTGAGACATACATATGTATGTATATGTATGCAATTTAGACATATATAGTTATCGTTAAAATTTAGGGGATGTGTAAATTAAAAAAAACCCGCGATCTTCGAAACCGTTTGCCGACCTCTTAAACAAAGTCGATTTTAGATTAAGCGTTCGTTTCTAAAACATATTATTAACCAGGTTTTAAAAGCCACATCGTCCAAGCAAAGGTCACAAACAATCTGGGTAATATGGAGTAACATAAAAATTCTTGTGGTTTTAGGGCACCTTCGGAATACGCTGCCGACCCCCAAAAATGCTGTTATTATACATATTCTTGGTGGCATGAAGTTTCTTCCTGAGAAGACCCCTAGTAAAATATTCCGAACAATAATTTTCTAGAATATATCAATCCTCTAACGAACTTCCAAATTTGCTTTTTGTGGGGTTTCTTGAAGTAAGCGTAAAAACAACCTTCTCAGGCGGGAGCTATTGGGTTAAAATGTTCTACGAAAAAATATCTCCCATGAAATTTTACCATATACATATGTCTTAAACTTTAATTTCGCTCAGACATTTATTTTCAGACTTTTTTGAAAACTACCTAGGCCGTGAAGGCCATAAAATAAAAATACGAGCTAACTTTTGCAAAACCATCGAGTGTTTTATTACTGTTTTATCACCCGCTTCGCTGAGTGTATGAAATTTGAGTAAAATTTATTTCAAGAAAACTAAATTAAAAAACAGGTGGTTTAAGATTTGTTTAACCATCTTAAAAATATTTTCAAACTAAAACTTTCTTTGTCATACTTTTTCAATTAACGTATCCCCTGAACTGAATTTGAGATTTTAAACAGATGGAAACCTCTTACATGTAGTACTGAAATGAAGCCCTTGAAAACCCATTTCGATTGATACCCATATTATAATAAATCATTTAAAATATTGAATAGTTTGAATTTAACCTTTTAAAAAGATGGCAACCTATGTGATACATATTGTAACACATATTCAAAACCATTTAGATTCATACCAATCTTCTATACTAATATATATTTTGAAAGCCGTTTTTTATGTGTTCGCAAAGCTCGAAAACGGCCGAACCGATTTTTTTGAAATTTCAGACACCTGCCCCAGATGTCCCTAGGATGGTTATAGGCTAAACAAAATTTCGATGTATGGCACTCCCATACAAACCGATTTTTTCATATTGCATATCTCTGGAAGTGTTCATGGTAAAATACTGGAACTTGGTCCGGCGATGTATGAAATCAATCTTATACTAATGGAGAAAAATGGGCTATTTGGAAAGAGGGCGTGGCACCGTACGAACACATACATATAATTCTTTTGTATGTGTGTTTGTGAGTGAAATCGCCCTAAATGCCCAGAACGATTTTAACAAAGTTTTTTGTGTGCTTTTGAAGGGCTCTCGGGATAGTGTAGTTTCACAATTTCACTTGCCAGTTGGCGCTGGAGTTAAGTTGTTACTAAAAATCTTATTTATAATCAACTTTGGCTAATATTCAAAATATGTATTGTTAACGGTAAAAGCTTTATTCGGAGGCACCAGGTTTCAGTTGTGCAGGGATAAATCTCAAATCACCACCGATAAATCAACCGCCAGGGCCATTGCGCGTCTTTTACTGTAAAACTTAATTTAAAATAATTGAATTTAATATTTAAAAAAGGTGGCAACCCTTGTGAAAGACTTAAAGATTATTCAAAACTTGCAAACTAAAGGTTTCTTAACAATATTTCGTTAGGCAACCATATTTTAATTCTTCAGATAGCTTGCGTATGATTAATATAAACTGGACTTTTCAAACAGGTGGCAACGCTTTTCAAAATTTATTAGAACTACAGCTTTTTTAAGCCTCTTGACATCCATTTTTATACCCGAGCGCACTTGTACACAAGGGTATTATAACTTTGTTCACATAACGGTTGTTTGTAACAGGCAAAACGAATCGAGATAGATATAGACAAATGTATACATACATAAATTATCAGAATGAAAAGAGAAATCGATTAAGCGGTGACTGTCTGTCCGTCCGTCCGTCTGTGCACACGATAACTCGAGTAAAAATTCAGATATCTTAACGAAACTTGGTACGTGCACTTCTTTCGGGCGTAGGACGGAGGGTATTGAAAATGGGCAAAATCGGACAATAACCACGCCTACCTCCCATGTAACGGTAATTTTCAGAAATACGAAAACTGCGATATTTTAGTAACCACTGAAGATTATTCACTCAAAATTGATATTTACAATAATTTTTGGACGAAAAATAATAATATTATAAATTTTTTGAAAATGGGCGTAGCCACGCCCACTTATGGATACATGTATGTATATCTTGGTAACCGCTACACCAATTTCTTCCAAAGTTATTAGCCTTGCCACAGCATACCAAATGGTCGAAAATTTTTAAAATCGGACGATAACCACGCCTACCTCCCATATAACGGTAATGTGGAGAAATACGATGTCTTCGATAAATAAATAAATATTAAAGCTTATTTACTCAAAATTGATACTTGCAACAATTCATTACCAAGAAATACGTTTATGATAAAATTTTGGAAAATGGGCGTGGCACCGCCCACTTATGATTGCATATATGTATCTCGGTAACCGTTCTTCTAATTTGTACCAAACTCGGTATGATTATTGTGCTTGCCACATAGAAGCAAAACGTTGAAAATTATTGGAATCAGATTAAAATTACGACCACTTTTCATATAACGGCAAATTTCAGAAATGTTTGAAACTTCAATATTTCGCAATTTAAGGACGCTAATTTACTCAAAATTGATACACACCGGCTTACCTTGTAGCGGTAGCTTTCGGAAAGGTGAAAATCATATACTTAGTACCTGCGCCGGGTATTTAATGTTCGGCTCCGCACGAACTTACGACTTTCTTACTTGTTTAATATAATTTTGAAATTAATAACTCCCTGAATTGAAGTTGAATTTGATTTTTTTAAAGGGTGGCAGCCCTCATCCATGAGTAAATAATGATTTTATATATCTCCATACAAAGTTCCAGTAATATATCCCAAATATTTCCTGAGTAATGCATGTATGAAAAATTCCGTTTGTATGGGAGGTGCCACGCCCCCTTGTCTAATCGAGATTAAATCTAACCTATATTTTAAGTTGGGCTAAATGACAGCACTGTACAAAATTTCATGATGATCGGTTGAGTAGTTAAAGAGTGACCGCGTGAAAGCGTAGCAAACAAACAAACTCACTTTCGGATTTATAATATTAGTAAGGAAGTAAGGATGTATCACTAACTAAGATATATTTCAAGTGCTCTTTATTGAAATATACTAAATCTACTGTACAAAGTTTAAATTAAAGCTAACTAAGTTAATACAAATCAATTTATGTGAAACTTCTATGTTGTCGACCGCGCGCCGCTTTATAGCATACTGACTTTCAGTGTTTCTTTGTCTTGACTTCGCCTTCGATGCTGAGGTGAGCGCTGGAGAGCGCGCGCCATGAGCGCCGGAGTATAAATAAATATGTAGCTCCCGCTACATGTCTCCCCTTCTTGGAGAAATTGTGTTCGTCTAAAATGAAAATATTAACAAAACAATATTTAAAAGTAGGCGAAAGATTAATTAGCGAAGCGAATGCGTTTCGTAGTTGTAGGAACTGTGCTCGCCGATGGTTGTGGAATGCTGTGTGTTTGTTGATCTACCATATCTTCGGCGATGAAATACACTGGCTTGAGGCGATCGACGGAGATTGCTGTGTTTCTGTCTCGAACGTTAACAATGAAACATTTTTAATTTTTCTCAATGACCGCGATGAGGGTCATCATATGGTGTAGCAAACGACTGACGAATGTGGTCGTGTTTTACGAAAACATGAGAAGTAGTAGCCAAGTCTTTAAAAGCAAATACGTGCTTTTGCCTATGACTGGATGTTTGCGCTGATGTTAATGCAATGAATTGGAGAGATGCAATTAACTCGTGAGGTGAAGAATCGGCAGCAGAAGGGTGTAGAAATTCTCCTGGCAAGTGGACGGGCTTTTTAAAAACGTAGTTCAGCTGGCGTAGCACTGCTGTCTTCTTTCCAGGTAGCTCTGAGTCCAAGAAGAACTGCAGGTAAAGCGC